ATTACATTGCCGGCTATGGAGTTTATTTTGAGTTAGATATTGGATGAAAAAGATTTGGATGTGAACTGAACCCATATCGTAACCGTCCTAGACGGCTCATGCCAAAAAACCAGGTTACAACTATAATTGTTCAAATTGTGTAGCATGTATATGTATATAAACATGCATGTATATAATTTTCATGAATTGTATTTGTATTTTGGAGAAATTCCACAAACACTCTTCATTTTTCCAGAGTTTCTATCGTCCCTACCAGTAAGCGAATGAGATCGTTGATCGATCTCAACATCTCTTTCATATTCAATTATGAGTTCAACTTCACGAAAGCCTGAAAAACATTTCTCCCCTGCTCCATCATCGCGAAGAGGCATCGGTGGCTCGTATTGCTCAAAGATAGTTGCGACTTTTTCTATGTGACTTATTTCTGTCTGCTTGGATGCCAATGACATCTCCGCAGCAGACTGAATTTGTTCGGGTATGAGTAGCGTCTTTGCAACAGATTTATCCTTGAGTGGGTAACCCCCACCCAAGCATTGTTCCGTGGTGCTGAAGCTGGAGTTAATTTGAGACGTATGGCGTATCTTCTGAGCTGAAATTCATTCAGCTTTTCTTGGTAGACTATGCAGTCTACACTGTTTGCTGGGTAGGGACCTGTGCAGTTGACGCACTTTGCTGGTTCTTTTGGCTTTGTGCACTCATATGTAGAATACTCTTCCGCACATTTGAAGCACTGGAACTTTCTATCACAATTTGCCGTCGCATGTCCCCAAAGCTGGCAGTTGTGGCATTATGAAATTTGCTTCGTATTGTTCTCTCGATTCCCATTCTACCCGCATAAATTAAATAATTCATATGACTGAAGGTGAATTCTTGATTCGAATCAACAAGGTATAACGGACTTCCTCTTGATCTCATCTTGTAGATGTTCTCCACCTTTATATTGTGTCTTTCTTCCAGGTCATCAGCGATGTCATCTACTGGAAGTTGTGAATCTAGTCTCCTCAGAACAAAAGCAAGTGTCTTGTCTTCATGCAGCGTATTTGTGTGGTATTTAGCATTACTATTTTTGTTGAGGGTGTTACTTATGGTGTGATGGTCTTCTTTGCTTTTCGTATACAGGAGTGTTGCACGCTCTGTATATTCAAGCTCAAGGTCTGCTTGCTTCCATATTTTTCAAGTATTCTTTGCTCAAGGTAACGTTCATTCAATGAATATTGGAGATAACGTTTGTTCTTGTTATGTCTTGGTTTGTGTGTTTTAGATTTTATCACGTATCTTCTAGCTGTTCTCGTCTTGGAGCAAGTCATATCTGTTGATTAATTGATTTAGGATTTCGCGGCCGAGATTTTCATTGTGACGATCCTCATTCGGGTTAGAAGGCATAAACCTCTGAAGAAGCCAGCCACTCGTGCTGGCGAAACGTTAGGANCTGGTCAAAGCAGTTAGTCAGGGAGCATACATTTATTCTTATACATTTCAGGTATGGTTTTCTATGGAACGGAAGATTCCCATTACTATGATGTTAAATGAATAAAATCAACTTGTAACTGAATTACATTGTTAATATCCTTTGAATAAAAATCTTAAAAGGTAAGGTAGTGTTTTGAAAGGTCACATAAGAGCAGTTTGATCAAGTGCTAAATTGAAACGTAATGCGTAAGGGCGGAGCTCCATACATGAAAACAATACTTCAAAGAACATCTGATCTGAGCTTTATAAAGCATCAAAAGTTGCTGAAGTGTGTACAGTTTTCTGGTTCGGAACAGTGTTTCAAGCTTTTAAGAAGCGGCTTTCGCTATTCCAGCCACATGATTGTGCCAAGACATTCTGGTGTCCATTTTAACCCCTAACAAACTTATCGAAGCCAAGAGTGGAATTGTCTTACCTGACATTATTATGGTATTGGTGTGGTATGGTATTACATCATTTTTGAAATCACTGATATCAAAGCCACTGGTCTATAGTTATTTGGGAAATTTTTCTTGCCCTTTCTAGGAATAGGCTGAACGCAAGGAATTTTTCAAACCAAAAGGAAAAACCCATTTCTTGTAACACAGGTTAGAAAAGTCAGCAAAATACTGGTGCGAGTTCATTTGCGTACTTTTTAGGTACGATGACGGACCCTTCATCAGAACCAGACGCCGTGTTGATATTGAGCTGTTTCAGAATTCGCCTGACTAGACGTTATCGAAAAGTAATTTATTTCTGACCGGGATATTATAAGCTTATATCGTCATAGTTACGCTATCAATAAAGAGGGTCATAACTTTCTTGGGACATTATAGATTTTATAATTCCCTCTACCTTTCACAAGTAAAAATAAATAGAAATGAAAACTGAACCATATTTTATTTATTCACGTCATTACAAATAANACGCGAGTAATCTTCCAACAAGAAAGAAAAACCCCTTTCTTGTGACAGATTGAGAACTCTGCAAAATACTGGTGCGAGTTCATTTGCGCACTTTTTGAGTACGATGACGGGCACTTCATCAGTGCCAGATGCCTTGTTGATATTGAGCTGTTTCATAATTCGGCTGACTAGACGCTGTCGAAAAGTAATTTCCGGGATTGTCGATTCTAGTGTGGGAATAGTGGGTGGTGCCTTTTCCACTGTGGAGTGGAACGAAAATTTTACAGCTAGTAGATTTTCTTTGTCTTTGGCTGTTGTTGCAATTGAACCATCCGCTTGTGTCAGTGGTGGAATTGTGGATTTTGTGAAGTTTTCATTAGAGAATAGTGTCCTATATTGTGTATAGCTTGGTAGTAAACGCATCATATGGATTTAGTTTTCTCCTGTGATATTATTTTGAACCTCATAACATCAAAGTTTTGAGGTTACAGCATTTCCTCTCGTTGAAAGGAGAGATCGCTTCTGATTAAAAGAGATATTTCAAAATTACATCCGAATCAAGAGTGGAAATCATAACCGATCTATAGAAAATTGACGAGGTATGTTGAGGCACTGACTTTGGTTTTTGTGAGAATATGAGAACTATCCTTTGCAGATGTTAGTGCACTTAGTTTCTGATTCTAAGCTGAGTCCTCTGATGTCGCAGAAATAGAGTTTGAAGTTGCTAGTGGACCTCTAAGCAACTGCAGTTATCATGCTATTCCCCTGTTTCGGTTTCTAGGGTATTGAATGCTGGTTTCACAGTAGAATGCTATCTTATCTCTCAATTCCATCAGGCACAGGCGCCTGATGGTTTTACTCAAACTCTCTGCGCGGCATTAGCTGGGTTAGTTGTTTTTTCTATTGGGTATCTGCCACATGTACCTACAAATTCGTAGGACTGCATGAAAGGAATGGGCAACCTTGAGCATGTCATAATGCACCTCTCCGGAATATTAATCATTATTCCGACTACAACCCCGGAATATGCTTGTGCAGTTGTTTTCTGGGTCTGTCTACAAGTGGCGCAGTGAACATCTCACTGAATCAACTGCAGAGAGATTTCATGATCAGCTGGAATGATATTTGTTTGGTCGTGATCCCACCCATTGTTGTCCGACAGAAGGACAAATGGGTACCGCTATTGAAACTGACGACTAAAGAGAGCATCAAGTTCTCGAAAGCCGTCAATCTGCATGACGGGATCAAAGTCCAGCCGGAGTCTCCTGACGACTATCGGCGTCTGGCAAGGCTTTTGGTGCCGTTATCAGGGGAGCACCAGAGCACTTGGCAGTCACCGATGTGCGTGAGGAACTCGAAGGAAAGGGCTTTGACCTCACCAGCGTCACGCGCATGAAGCGCGCTGGCAAACCTATGCCTCTGGTCCTCGTCTTGGTAGACAGGGACCAGAAGCATATTTTCGAGGTCAAAGACTTCTTAAGCGTGAAGGTTCAGGTCGAACCCCAGCACGCAAAAACTTCGGTGGGTCAATGCCACCGATGTCAGCGCTTTGGACACTGCCAACGCAATTGCTTGGCAGTGCCCATCTGCGT